TCTTGGAGCTACCGGGTAGTCGAGTTGACAAACTGAAACCATCGCTTCACTAGAAAAGTATCTGAAAAGCACGGACAAGAACTTCATATTAGAAGATCACCGAGTTTGTAATCTTGAGTTGATGGTAGAGGAATGGCACATCGTGGAGTTGACTGGTAGTGGTGTATCAAGAACCTCCATCGTGGATATCGCTCAAGACAAACGCGCAATACTCACCTGAACCATTGGTATCCTGATACGTCGCTGTGAAGAAGAGACAGCATCAACTAAGTCTCCTCTCAAACTGGCTCGCATGTACTGCAGTCAATTGGCATTCTCTTTGCCTGTTCTCTTGAGGGAGGGGAGAGATGACACAGCCCAATCTCGATAGCTGTGTCCAGTCACACTTGTCTATCAACCCACTTGAGAGAGTAGACATGGGCCAGTCGTGATGATAAGCGACACAGGAAGCAAGGTGTTCCAATTGATATCGTTAGAAAAGGGTCAAGCAGAAAATGCCGTATATGCGGAAGTGAATACAGAGGCAGTGAATCTGCTCACGATGTCTTGAAACTAGGAATCACCTACACTCATCAGCTGTCGTCCAAAAGAGTCTCATCCGACATCAACAGTGACGACGAGGCTTGATCCAGGGTAGCATTCACTCTTCAGCTGTCGTTCATCTCCAAATCCCAACAAATCACCATCTCTGGAGCTGACAACCTCCGGACGATGTCCTCCGCGATATCGGTAATCGGCCCCACGACGGAGGTTACACCCGGGATCGACAGAATCCATGACCGAGCCTCATCATCCAAGCAAATATGCACGTCAAAGGTCAAAACAGGGTACGAGCATCTCACCAAACAAGGTTGCGATATTCAGATCAGGACGCTAACCAAGGCCCGTTTGTGTCATTTGCGGAACCGTGACGTGGAGGTTGCATCCAGCACGAGCTGAATAGAGCTTACGACAGCTATCAATATCGTATCATATCCACTGAATTTTACGCTTTGGGTGATACATACACTGTGCTTTGCTTTGGTTGCTGTGATTGGGAATAATGGATTTTGTTGGTTGCAGCTGTCGCTCGTTAATCTAAGATCTTATGACGTCACGGAGGGAGGGCAGATGTCATGATACTGATTCCCTGGCATTTTGACGTAGGAGGCGGGGCATCAAATTCCAGCTCAAGAGATATGATGGGCATAATAACTCTAGTCTCCCATTAATCATACCCACCTACGTTGGAATCTATAGTTGACCGACAGTAGATATCATGGCTACAACAGACGATCCAAACCGTAGCTTCACAGCAAGCAACACAGGAAGCGAACCAGAAATAATAGAAGGGCACCAAGAAGAAGCCCCAACCGTCAGCCACGCCCTCGCCGAAGAATCCCAAAACTTTGAGGAAAAAGGCGCAGCGCAGCTTGAGCACGGCGACGTCGAGGTCAAGAATCTAGGATGGAACGAACCTCCCCGCGTCGTGCCCCCGCTGGTGGGAGGCTTGAAGAACGAAGATGTCTGGGCTTTGATACGACGCTTCGATAAGCAGGTCTTTTATGTCAGGAGTATCGAGGAGCCGCCCCTGGGAATGCTGGATATGAACATCGCGGACGAGGAAGAGTTTTCGCCTGAGAAGCTTAGGGCGCAGATTGAGCGGCTCTACGTTTCTGTGTTTGCGCAGTTGTTTTCGTTCTGGAAGCATATCGTGCGTCTTCGTTCTTGGAGGGAGTATCAGCGAACTTCTGCGTTCCTCGCTGTATACACACTCGCATGGCTTCTCGATATTCTCGGCCCCACGATCATTGTATTTCTCATGGTACTCATCTGGTCCCACGAGGCCCGCGATATCTGCTTCCCAGGCGCACCACCATCGATAATCGACTCCAAGACAGGAGGTGTCAAGAAACCAGCAGCTGGTGTTCTAGCGTCTGACGATTCCGTCACTGGTGCGCCAGAGAAGCACAAGGGTGAAGCAGTCGAGCAGGAGGCCCATAGCTTTGTGACGAGCTTGTCTACGGTATGTTCTGGTGTAAGATTTGCTTTTTGGTTTCTTGGGGTGCAGGATACTGAGTGATTTGTAGATTGTTGTTAGCACGGCTGCGGGTAAACATCCCCAGACGGATCCCGACGATGATAGCGCTGCGCCTGATCCGACGAAACTTACTGAAGAAGCTACCGAGGCTAGACAGAAGTCTGTGGGAGAGAATCCTCATGCTGAACATAACAGGGCCAAGAAGCCAGTGTCGAACGCCGTTTGGGATAAGGCGCGTCCGACGATGCATCTGATTGCTGACTTTGTTGATACCTGGGAACGATTCGGTAATGCTTTGAGTCCAGCGGCGCCTTTCCATCGCCATCGGCCCAAGTTCATACTCATTGGTGTTCTTGTACCCATGCTACTCGGCGCTTGGTTCACGACTCCACACATGGCCATGAAGGGCATGGGATTTGCTGCTGGATTCGGATTCTTCGGTGATCCCATCATCACACCCGCTATCAACTTCATCAACCGGACGTATCCCCGCTGGGAGAAGTATGTCGAGTTGCGAAACACTATTCTTCGAGGCGTCCCTACAAATGCGCAGTTGGCTATCACTCTTCTTCGCATAGGTGAAAAGAACAAGGCTCCTCTTCCACCGCCTCCTTCTTCCGACGTGCCTCCCCCTACTGTTCCCCACGAGACTGCCGGAGAGGGTTTGGAGCATCTAGGTGTGTAACAATCATTCACTGCAGTTCAACTCATGCTAACACCACCAGAAGGAGTATCGCAGAGCGAAATCGCCGAGGCTGTGCAGCCTGATCCAAACATTATTCATGAAGATGAGCACGGAGATGAGGAAGAAAAGACGAAGCACAAGAAGTCCCATCGCATCATGAACTTCATCCGCGGCACAGCAAAAGGTGGTGTTACTACAGCTCTAGCTGCTGACAAAGCGAAAGCCAAAGCAGGCGCTCATCACGCAAAGAATCGTCTTGGTGTAGTCAAAGGTCAAGAGCCATATCCCCTAACAGGACCAATTCGTTTCCCAGCACGATACAAGGGAAAGAAGGGCCACGCATACATTACAGCTACAGCTACGACACCGGCTGTCAGTTGGACGACCGAACTCGGAGATCTAAAGCCCGCTTGGACTGTGACTATTGGCGACATCGATGAGCTGAAGAAGATGGGCGGTCTCGGGTGGAAGAGCAAGATCATTGTTGGCTGGGCTATGGGGAGCGAGATTGTGGATGGTTTGATGATTAGGACAAAGGACGGACAGGAACATCATCTCACGGCGGTCTCCATGCGGGATCAGTTGTTCAACAGGTTGATCTCCATGGGAAACCAGATGTGGGAGGCGTGGTAGATACGCCCTTTGGGAGTAGTCTTGGCTTGATTTGGTAGGTGTCTGGAGTTTGGTGATGGAATCATGATACTCTTTGATACCAGGAACACGAAGTAGGATGTGGAATCAATGTTTGGAATCAATTGAATTATAAGTCTAGACCTCGCTAGTTGAAGCATTTCGTGAACAAAAGGTCCTGCTTTGTAATCTCGTGAGTCCACTGAGGCCCTCAATACCTTAAATCCTCCAAACAATTAAGCCAAACGTGGGGAAAGTGGGACAACTTGACAGGGTGACGTCAATTGAATAGAGAGCAGAGCTTACAGATCAAATCACATCTGCAGCGACAACTCGGCCGAGGTCGCTCAAAGGTGGGGGATAAAAAGGGCGATAGTGACACGAGAAAACAAGAATGTCCTCCCCCAATTCCCTATTTCTGTACAAGATCGTCCCCAAATCGCAAGCTAAGCCCATCATGAGCTTCACCCCAGAGCCGTACGACCCCAGCACCGCCGACTCATGGCTCGTCTGTGATACCTGCGGGACTCAATTCCCAACGTCTGATCGCAGCGCCCTCAAGACATGTCACATCTGCGATGACCCACGCCAATTCGTTCCGGCGTCTGGTCAGTCGTTCTCGACATTGGGGGAGTTGAAGAAGAAGCATACGAATGAATGGACAAAATGTCCTTCTGATGAGAACATCACGTTCATTTCGTCGCAGCCGAAATTGGCGATTGGACAGCGTGCTATTCTTATCAAAACGCCCGAGGGTAATATTCTCTGGGATTGCATCACGTTGCTGGATGAAGAGACTGTTGAGAGGATCAAGAGCGAGGGAGGGTTGAAGGCGATTGTTATAAGCCATCCGCATTTCTACAGCACCCACGTCCAATGGGCCCGCGCATTCAATTGTCCAGTCTATCTCGCCGCCGAAGACAAAATCTGGACAACCCTCTCCTCCACGCACCAAATCTTCCTCACAGCCCTCGAAACGCCCATTCTCTCCACGGCCAAGGCCATAAAGCTAGGCGGACACTTCCCGGGCTCCATGGTGCTGCACTACAACTCGCGGCTGTTCATAGCCGACACGCTCATGACGACGGCGTCGGGCGTCGGGAACTGGAGTGTAGACGCCACGGGGGCATCGCGGACCCGACCGGCTGGGCTGAACTCGTTCTCGTTCCTGTGGAGCATTCCGAACTTCATTCCTCTCGGGGTAGGGGAGATGGCGAGGATGTGGGGGGTGTTGAAGGGGTATGAGTTTGGGGCTACGCATGGTGGGTTTATGGGGATGGATATTGAGAGTGAGGATGTCAAGGGGAGGGTTTTGGAGAGTATGAAGATACAGGCTGGGTTTATTGGGGACAAGGAGTTTGAGGAGAAGCTGTAAGTGTATCGATTGCTTTTCTTTTGTTGGATATGAAGCTTGAGATGAGAGATGAGAGATGAGAGACGAGGGACGAGGGACGAGAGATGAGAGATGATAATGATGTTGTTGAATTAAAAATATATAAATAAATAAATCAGGGCCATTCTGATATCTGGGTATCGATCAAGTTTTTAACATGCATCCAACTCCTACTCATGCATCCAACTCCTACTCATGCATCCAACTCCTACTCATGCATCTCAGTCTTTCTATCCATCAACGCCATAAATCTCAACACAAGTATACAAAGCTCAGTCCTTCTTCCAGAACTTCCACTTTTGCTTCGTCGGCGACGATGGACATAGATAACGGTTCAGGAGCTCTCGACCCTCATCAGGAAGATCGATAACAGATTCATTGAGCGTGTCGATAATGAAGCGGTTCGCTGTAAAGAATTAGCAACAATTCAACACCGAGACGAGAAAAAAGGAACTTACGCATCAAGTCAATGCCGCATTCTCCAGCATCAACAGCCATATCGATCCTCGTGGAGTTATAGCATCCATATCGAAGTTGCAGCTCAAGCATACATCTCCACAGCTCTCTCGTCTCATCAAGGCTCATGCCTTCGCAGCTGCGTTCAGAGCATGTGCTTGCTTGGCGGGATCGATGGTTATCGTGGTGGGATTGCTTTGGCAGAGGGATTGCCTCGTCGCTGGGGGAACTCCACATGGCGGGGAGGGAGAGAGGACCAGGATGATTCTCGCGATACATTTTGGTGATGATGAGGAAATGTTGGTGAGGGTAATGAAGTTGATGAATGTTGAGAAGAAGGAAGTCGAGGTCTTATATAAACAGCCTCAAAATTCTCTCCTTTCTTTTTTCTTTCTTTCGCCCTTTTTCTTGATTTCAGGCTCGTGAGTTGTCTCTGCTGTAGTGGGGTTTTGTACTTTCTGGCCCAATATGACAGGCAGAACCCTGCTTATTTATATCAAAGCGTAGCTCAAACAAAACAAAAAACGAAAAACACCAAAAAACCAGGGCGAACCCGATTAAGTTATACTAACGAACCTGTCCTACGGTGAGTACCGCAGCACAAGCAAACAGGAGGGTGGGAAGCTTTGCGCAGTCAGCGGGAGAGCGCCACGTTGGAGGGTCTGAGACAGCTTGCTTCTTGATGGTAGAGCCAAGAAAAGGCGTCAGTGAGTCACATGTGGGAATAAACCATGCTTAATTCCGTGTAGTCAGTGAGTTTTTGCTCCGATTGTTAGTATGAGGGTGGGTGGGTGTCATCATCGGAACATTGCCTGACGGAATGAGGTAGACATCACAAGTGATCGACTTTGCATACGAAAAGACACGGGAGAACGGGAGACAGAGAAAATCCTTTCGGCAGTTTGAGTACGTACTCTCCATACTGGGCCTGTGACTGAATGCCAAGTTAGTGTGTGATCTGCGGAGACTATGGATGGATTGAGGCTTGCAAGCCTGATCTGATGCCCAAGACCAAGAATCAAGATAGGGGGGGTCACAAGGACAGGCTTGTGATAACGACAAGACAGGGCGGGTTTCGATAAGCTTTTGTCTAAGAGCAGTGGTATGGCATGATAGAAACCATGACGACGGGATGGAAGATAGCAGAAGCATGCTACGGTTTGACGGATAAGTAGCGGACTGCTACTGTACCCGTGAAAGCCGCTGTAGCCGGGCATCATTGACTCTTCTCTCAGTCACAGTTACAGTTGCATTCAGAGCCAAGACTGGTTTAAGGCTGAAGGGAGGAAACATCCGGTTGCCCCGCCCCATAAAATAGGTACAAATAGTACGGGAGGACCCTGGGTTCCACTGGCGGAGGAATCCTTTTTAGTTGACTGACCTCTCTAAAAATTGAAAGTACCGCCGGTGTTCACGGATAACTCAGACGTTGAGTGTATTCGTTGAAGCGGTCAAGACTTTGCAGTTGAGGCAGTGTTTTTCTCAACGGCTTAAATCCCAATGCAAGGGATAGGTATTTCACCGCCAAGACAGCGTATTCACAATTACGTGGCGTATAGTACAAACTCAACCACAATCATGAACAAGACTGCGCCTAGAAACAAACACGTGCCTTTTCGATATAACAAACAGCATACCTTGCATGGACATCTCCGGGTAGTTGGTATTTTATTAATACTCTTGTGGCGTTTGATCTTGGCTGTGGCGTACTCTCCCCGGATGCCACCTTGGATCTTATTGTTCCAGATCGTGAAGTTAAGCTTGGACTTGGCGAAAGAAGGTTCTTAGCGATCGAGAGCTATTGTTACTTCGCGTGGAAGCTCAATGTTAGTTTGTGGTCTGTTGTTGGAGAAAAGGTTTGGCCAGTGTGAGTGAATGAATGAGATCTCCACATGGTATTGGCAGATGGCATGTTGCATCAGACTCTTGTATACTGATCTATCATGAACAATTGAGAGGTGAGTTTGTCACTGAAGCAAAGAGAGTGAAATTGATGCATGTGTGTTTGTTCAATTGGCTTTGAATGGCTTGTAAGCTAGCTGCTCCCAAGGATGCTTCCGAATGATTGACTCTCGTCTATATACCAAACAACACCTGAGCAGGCAGAAATCTAGCCTTTACCTGAGAATCCTCAAACGCTTCACACTAAACAGATCGATCTTCAAACTTGAAGCATAAATGTTTTCACTGATAACCGAGTCGATCGTAATAATCTCCGTCAATAGTCACAAACTAGCGCTTGCTAGTTCGCCATTCAGCCTCAGCTGCAATCTCCCCTGTCAATAGGAGGCGAGAAATCTTACGGCTTCTTAGCTAAGTGATAAAAATACTTAGGTAAATATCTGGCAATTTGTCAGTACTTTGAGCCAGCTTATTTTGACACCAGTATTAAGTGTTAGAGACTTTCTTGCACCCGGATGATTGTCAACATCTAGAACTCAATAGTCTGGTCTCCTAATCCATAGTAAAAAAGTCTTCAGAATTGATGATGGGTTGACTTCACTCTTTCATCTGCTTTGGCAGTCATCGCTCGTTATTCCATCGTCAATATGCGTTTCGCGCTTCTATGGTCGCTGCTTGCGGCGGATGCTGTGGTCGCCAGCGTATGTAAACCTCGCCAGTCAGGTGGTTCAAGTAAGTACTTCTGCAAATAAATGTCTGGTGGAATTCAGAACCTAATTGTCAACAGGCACAGCTGAGATAGAGACTACGACGACAGCTTCGATCGAGTCATCCACCAGCATCGCGACGTCGACAGTGGAAGATGTAACCACTACCGAAGTCGCAACAACTGCAGAGACAAGCAGCGAGACAGCTGCTTCAACACTCACAGTCGCCGAAACCACCTCAAGCGATGTCGCCGGGCCCTTAGAAACATTCGTTCTCGCCGCCAAAGTCGAAGGTACCGTCAGCGACGAGCTCTCAGGCGCAGACCGCGATGGTTCACCAGTAGTATGGCCAACCCCACGCTTCATCGCCAGCGGCCCCTTGACCATCTCCATCGACTCCACGACGAGTTATCTCCAAACAAGCGGTGGATTCTACCTCTGCGTCGCATACGGAGACGGTACTTCACCAAACGGTGTCAAGCTTTGCAGCGCCGAGTCCCTTGAAAATCCTGCATTTGGCGCTCTTCCGTGTGAGCAGACGGAGGATCGGAAGATTGCATGTGAAGCTCAAGCTGGGCAGTGCATTAGCGATGGGGAGAACACCATTTGCTCCGAACTTCCGGGGACGTACGATCAGTTCTATTACTATAGGGGAGCCTTCAATGGGATTTATCTCGGTATCGGGTCTGCTGTGAATACCGATGAGAGCCAGCATCCTGTTGAACTCAAGGCCAGACGAAGCAACACATGATTATGGAAGTAGATCCCGAGCAGACCACATCTAAGTTAGAAGACAAAATGAATAGCTACGATGATTTGTGGCTTATAGCTGAAGACCCTGTGTCGTCACATCTCGGAGCTTCCCAGCCACGGCGTCCTCGGCTCGTCGATCCAACGTTCCAGACCCGTTGTCACCTCAGCCCTAAACCTTCGTAGCTTGTTAGGATAAGGTTGCGTATTCCGGGTTGTTGGGTCTCGAGCTTCATGCAGTCAGCTCACTAGCCGGCACCACCGGATGTTTGCAGCTTGAGTTAGTGAAAGTCAATGAATGTTAACGTTGCTGCCTGTTAGCACTTTAAACAGTAACTTTTGGAAGCATCCGATTTTGACGTCAACTGAATGAAGTTTGTTTGTTTTGCTAAATTCTGACGGTGAGGGGTTGCGTTGCTATGAACGGGCGTTGAGATGCGTGGGGATGAGCTTCAAGAAGATGACCACTCGCCGATGACTCACAACGCCAAGCCTTTGCTGAAAGGAGAATGATTTAACTCCTGCCCATGCCAAACTTGCTGATAAGTTGTGCAGGAGAAGCGATCAAGAGCAACCGACGATGGTGATGACTGGTTGAGAATGACTGACTGACTGACGACACGGCGATAAGAAGGAACTCCGAGACCACAACGATGGAAAAGTTTTCTGATCGCGAGAGGCATGAACTCAACTCGATATCGGGCATGTTCCGAGACTACATCTTCATCTGGATGCGAACGAACAATAAAAGCGATGCTGACCTCGCAATGGCGCGCATGTAGAGAAAAGCTCACCGGGCAATGATCCAAAGAGGCATCGGTCTGGTAGGACCTAGAAAAGCAAAGCAGCTTCAAAAAGCGGTAACAGGGAGCATATCCTCTCACGAACATGATCGACGACACCAGACTATGCCAGCTCTTGTGATAGTACTCGGACTCCTCCAAAACTGACATAGCCATACAACTTACCCCTAACCGGTCCCCAACACCTCGATCCGAATCAGTACGGAACATTATCTACGTGCCTCTTCCCCGTACCGACCAATCTCGAACTCTACAGCATCCTGTGCTTAAAGTTATATCAGAAGCCTGTGCTTTTGAACGAATTTCAGCTGCCCTTGAGTTAAAACGACTTACCTGAGGGACGTCGTCCTGTTGATTCGATTGGCTTTGAGAGCTGAAAGCAACTCTCTTGCTCTTGGAGACGATGGGATAACCCCCCGGAGACGAATTGACGGATTATCCGCTCGAATAAATGATTGCAACGCCCAAAAGTGTAGTATATTGCCACCATATTCACCAGTGCTGAGCTTACAGATTTGATCGTCCCAACACCTCAGTTGGACTGCCTCGGTACACAAGCTTCTTGAACAGGTCTGTCAGCGGTATAACAATGAACAGTAGCCATCATTTGCCGAATTGAAACAGTCTGATTAGAAATAGGATTATATAAAGAAGATTCATAGGTAAAAGCCTTTATCTTGTGCCTATATTCACGTACTTGGATCGCCGGCTGGGGTGCTCACCAGGCTGTTCGATCAGTACAGTCTCCAAAGCCGCCCATTTAGTACCACGGACTGCTAGATATGCTGCTGGAAAGGAGAACTGGATGGTAACTCTAACTAAAGTACATCGTACAGGCACAGATCCTCTGACGGCCGAGGAACGTGGCAGCAGACATATTCAGCGATGCTCGGGTCGTTGAGTCCGGCCCGTGTACTAGTGAGGTTAAAGCTCTTTCCGAAGTGTTACTTGTGGACACTTGACGGATTTCACAGACTGGCCACCTCGTTCCCACAATGAAGTGTCACGAGTAGGTTATGACGGATGGCTACGATTTCCAGGCATAGCAGCCGTGCGAAACGAATGGGCCCTTATGGAGGACGAGAACTTGTAATCAGCTTGTATCTACGCTTGAGAT